CATCAGACAGATCAGAAATATGTGTGACCAAAATTACTGGTTCATTTGGAAAATTACTGCAAGAAAAATAGGAAGTTGTAATATCCATCTCACTGGCTTCATTTCAATCTTGTGCATATTTTGTTGTTGTTGATGTTAGTACTTTTGATACTTCTTGTTACATTTGTACATAACATACATTCATCTAAGTAATATGTCACCTCTCTCTCTAACATAAGCTGTAACAAGAGAGGTGATTTCTTTATTGTATAATTGTTTATCCAAAGCTGTTACCTTGCCAGCAAATGAATGAGGTACCTATAGGTTATAAGTTGGTCACCATATGTTTTTTTATTGATTCACTATGACATTGATACTGTAACAAAAACTGAACTACTGTGTTACTGTAGAAATTAATTAACTTTTCATAAAGGAGATATTGATAGACAATGAAAAGTGATTTTCGAACATAATTGGTTTTTTTTTTGGCAAAAAGGAATTCACTTTGATGGACTTGTAGAAGAATCCAAACTTGGTGAGTGAATTGTAAACTCAAGCCTCTTTTGATGACTGGGTTGATAGATACAAGAAGACTAATACCCCTCAGAAAACAATTAATATGAATCTACATTGTAAGTACTTGTGCCAAAATTTCTCATGAAGTTTGATGAAAATTGTGTCAAAGGTTTACATCAGTAATATTTTTGATGTGTTGGTCAAATAAGGGCTAACTAACTTTTTGGTAGACTTGTACACATTGAAATTAAAATAATATGGAAAATCAACAATGTAATAAAATTGAGAATGGAAATAGGGAATATGTCAAAGAGACAACAACCTGACCATAGAGCAGACAACAGCCGAAGGCCACCAATGGGTCTTCAATGCAGCGAGAAACTCCCGCACCTGGAGGCGTCCTTCAGCTGGCCCCTAAACAAATATGTATACTAGTTCAGTGATAATGGACGTCATACTAAACTCCAAATTATGAACAAGAAACTAAAATTAAAAATGATACAAGACTAACAAAGGCCAGAGGCTCCTGACTTGGGACAGGCGCAAAAATGTGGCGGGGTTAAACATGTTTTTTGAGATCTCAACCCTCCCCCTATACCTCTAGCCAATGTACTCTTACATCATCTGCATTGGAGTGCAATGAAATGTATGTGTATATATCAGCAAATTATGGCAGATGAAATTTGAATGTTATTGTTATAGGAGTTGTGCCCCTTGGATATATTAATGAAAAGAAACATTTCAGTTTATGGACAGGGTGCAATCTTGTTTGTATGGATATGATCACAAACAGCATCTGCTCAAACCATTATTTGGATGTGAATGAATGTAGGAATCAATGGGGAAAAAACACAAAGAAGGAAATTGAATAAGAATAATACAAGAAATCATTAAAAAAAATATGGTAGGTGCCAGATATTACCCATGTTATGACTTGCTTTCCTTAGTAAGTGATGATATTTGTAGAGCTATAGTTTCGCTAATTGTCTTATAATTAGGTATTTCTGACAGAATTAGAGACATATGTCTCCTCATTGTTGCAAGAATTTGTTATAAAGCTTAGAAAAGAACACATGTTGGTACTTTTTGAAATTTCATGGACTGTCAGTTATTTATTTTTTCTAATATACTTCTTCACATGTTCACCTATTTCACTCCAAGAGCTGCATGTGATATAGAAATAGGGTCACCTGGACCGGTCACCTGGACCTATTCTGTCCAACAGTAAGACTTACGTTGAAGTAATGTCTGTATTGTATAAATACCAAGTCTTTTCCAGTCCAAAAAGGCACATTAGATCTGATGCACACTGTTGGGAAGAAAAAAAGGACTTTGTATAATTCTGACGTGTCTATAGGTGACCTTTTTCTAGGCTAAATTTCTGCCCTTGGCTTACCCAACACACTTTTTTTCCAGTAGCAGTGCAACTTTTCCCCCATCTCAGTTGACCCACTTTGCATACTTACCTAACATGTTTAATCCTTTGATTTGTTTTGGTCCTGAATTTGACTGAAATATTTGAAGCCGGATATTAAGCTAAAACAATCTATCAGTCTCTGCATATCTGACTTGCAGAATAACCTCACTGTACATGTTGACACTCTAGAAATAAGTCATTTCAATTTGAGAAAAAGTGACAGTTGAATCTTCTCATTCTTAGAATATTTATGTGTTGCCAACCAAAATGGATTACTGATTACATGTTTGTAGATAAATGTATTAGATATCTGACTTTAACATTACTGATGCCAGTAAAGTTAAATGTTCTGAATTTCTTAAGGGAATTAATGATGATCTGATATCTTCGCTTTGAATAAATATGCCTCTTTTTGATAAACCAATTATTGAACAGTTTATAGCTCAAGTGACCCATAGGCCAGTTTAAGCCAATGTCATCAGTTATTATATGTTATTTATTGTCAGTTCTCCTGACCCAAAGGTTCATTCCAATCTATTTTTCTCAATTTTCAAAAGTCCACTCCTCTAAAACACTATGCCAGTTGGAAAGAAAATCCATTAGAATCATTTGATGAGGTCTTATGTAAAAGAAATTGATTTTATATAAGTTATTATAAATATAACATTAAAAATCCATAAAACATACAAGAAGTTTTTTTTATGGATTTTCATATAAATGTTAATATGAAAAAAGAGTTTGTTGGGTATATGTGAGTGAGACAGTAACCCAACAACTTAACATAGCAAAATGTGTCTACACAATATGTTGAACTCAAAATCACTCAGAGCCTAAAAAAGTTGTGAATAGATTTAAGGGAGACTATCAAAGATCTCTGCTATAAAAGGTTGTGAATAGATTAAAGGGAGACCATCAAAGATCTCTAGGGGCCTCGGTGGCCGAGTGGTCTAAGTAGTTACTACTGTAATCACTAGCCAGTCAACACTGAGGTTGTGAGTTTGAACCCCGCTCGTGCGGGTGCACTCGACTCCAATCTTAATTGACTAGGATTGTCAGTTTTCCTATCGAAGGTTGGTGGTTTTCCCCGGGCACTCCTGCTTCCTCCACCAATAAAAACTGGCTGCCACGAAATAGCCCAAAAGCGGTGCTTAAAAATGGCGTTAAAACACCAAAAATCAAAAATCAAATCAAATCAAAGATCTCTGCCATAAAAGGTTGTAAAAAGATTAAAGGGAGACTATCAAAGATCTCTGCCATAAAAGGTTGTAAAAAGATTAAAGGAAGACTATCAAAAATCTCTGCCATAAAAGGTTGTAAAAAGATTAAAGGGAGACTATCAAAGATCTCTGCCATGAAAGGTTGTAAAAAGATTAAAGGGAAACTATCAAAGATTTTTGCCATAAAAGGTTGTAAAAAGATTAAAGGGAGACTATCAAAGATCTGCTTTTAACACCAAATTATCCAAATGATTAAAGACAATCACTAATCTAGGAATAAATCAAAATTTTTAAGGAATATTTTTATGCCCCCGCCGTAGCGGAGGGGTCATTAAGTTTTACCCTTGTTCGTCTACGTCCATACATCGTAACGTCCATCCGTCCGTCCGTACGTACGTCCCAAAATTGGTTTCCATTCTCTAACTTTAGTTTGCCTCAACCAAATGTTATGAAACTTATCCACAATGCTTATTACCACAAAACACAGATCAAGTTTGAATTTTGGTGGCGTCACTTTTACCGTTCTAGAGTTATGCCCCTTTTCAAATCTCAAAATTGCTGAAATATTTGTTTCTGTTCTCTAACTTTAGTTTGCCTCAACCAAATGTTATGAAACTTATGCACAATGTTAATTACCACAAAACACAGATAAAGATTGAATTTTGGTGGCGTCACTTATACTGTTCTAGAGTTATGCCCTTTAAAAATGGAAAAATTGCTGAATTTTTCGTTTCTGTTCTCTAAATTTAGTTTATGTCAACTAAATGTTATGAAACTTATTACCACAAAACTCAGATCAAGTTCAAATTTGGGTAGTGTCACTTTTACAGTTCTTGAGTTATGGCTCTTTATAACGTTATATGCAAGCGAGGGCATCATCTGTGTCCCATGGACACATTCCCCATTTATTTTTTGAAATTCTGTTAGCATCTTATGTTTATCAATTCTTTCTGAATTTTACTATTGTATTTTAGACAGATCTTTAATTAAGCTAACTTATCTTGGCATTGTTCAGAGTCTATTTAGTCTGGTCTTTCTTGAATAGCTTTATTTACATGTCATTGTCAATACATAGAAAAAAAAATTGTAAAGTGCAAATTCAGTATACATTTTACTGAAAATCATTTTATTGGTTTTAAGTATATCTAACATTCAATATTTGTATTCTCAAAATCCTGATCATTTTTTTATGGAATTCTCTTGGGTTAGTTTTTTTTTTAAGTGAAGACAACAATCTCTGTGGACCTCATTTTTATTGCAAGTCATCTTAATATGTCTGGAGAAAGCTAAGTATTTCAAAATAATTTCGGTTGGTTGCACATTGATCTTAATATGTCTGGAGAAAGCTAAGTATTTCAAAATAATTTCGATTGGTTGCACATTGACTGTTGTTGCCTTTTAGATCTTTTCTAAATACATTCCACTGCCTTTTAATCTTTAATAAAATCACACATCAATTCTCTGAAATCGTTTGTTTGTCCCTATTTTTGTATACAAATTCATGAGAATGGCACACCTTTTTGTTGTGAACATCTAAGGAGTAATTAAGTTATTTAATATCTTTGCAGGGGACATTTAATTATGAGAGAGTTCAGTTCGTTATTGATTAAAAGTTGTTAGTGTATTATCCAATTAACAGCTTATAGAGAACAGGTATCCTTGTTGCTAATTTTGTTATTTTCTAATTACTTGAAGCAGTTTTAAGCACTTCCCCAATGGTTATTTAATGTTTGTATCTCATATTTTTGGAACAATTTCCCATATGCATTATGTATTGCAAAAACATAAAATTCATAAAATAGATTTGATGAGTAATAGTAGAAAGGACATGTTGATGTATTCATTGATGAAGTTTCATGTTGATATTGCAGCTACTTGATAAGCTAACCTTAACCAAAATTAGGCAATACAAACACACGGACTGACCAAAAGAGATTTTGGTGGAGGTCTTGGTCTCTGTTCATTTGACCCGGATGTCCAAGAAAATACACAAATAGATTCCACTGCTGCCCCAGGTAAGCATTCATCTGTCAAAGGGAAACTGCCCCAGGTAAAAGCATTCCTATGTCAAGGGAAACAAAAAAAATAAATCTGAAATTTAAAATTGACATCATCATTCTGAAATTGATTTGCAATATTTAAACACCTGCAAACAAAGTCAGTCCCTCTGTCCCTCTGCTGTCTGTCTCTCTGAACTAACTTTTAAGTCCTCTGTCCAATTTAAACCATAATTTGAATAATTACCCATTATGATATACTAGTCAATTTTGCAGCACATAGGTTTTTTCATCTTTGAGTATTTCTCCAATTATGCCCCTTGAAATAAGAGAAAATTTGATCCTTTTCAATATACATGTGAACACAATTCTTAAATTTTTTGTTAGATGTTCATGAATTAAGTACTTTGTAAGATCCTTATATGAAAATATGCAAAACAGTAGGGTACCTGGTAAGTTGACAAATCCCAGAGTTATGGCCCTTTGCACTTAGAAATTTTTTATACTATTCAGCATGCACTTAGTGGATGCAACTTCTTCTACATGCTTCATCAGATATTCATGAAACTTTGTTCATTGTAAGATCTTAAAATGAAAATGATCATATATCTAGGATTTCCTGGTCTGTTGACAAACCCAGAGTTATGCCACTTTGCACTTATGATTTTTGTCAAGCCAGCGAAATATATTTCGTGAAAGCCAGACTCCGTCTTTGGCATCATCAACATTTAGGTTCAGTCTGTGGTTAAAGTTTTTTTGGACATCAATAACTTTGTCAAACCTACATGGAGTTTTAATAAATTTGGACAGAAGCTTGTTTATGAATAAAATACAGTATCCCGAGTAAAATTTTAAAACTATTTATTTTCATTATCCCGTATTTTACTGATAAATGGACTTTGTTTTTGTTGCAGAAAGCTTAATATTTCAGAAGGTAGAAGATATGAATGCTTCATACTTTGTATATAGATGCCTTATGATATGAAGTTTCCATCTGTCATATGTCCATTGTCCTTGACCTCATTTTCATGGTTCAGTGGCTACTTGAAAAAAAAAGTTAACATTTTTTTGTAATGTTAATTTCTCTCTTATTATGAGTAATAGGATAACTATATTTGTTATGTGCCTACCTTGCAAGGTCCTCATGCCTGTCAGACAGTTTTCACTTGACCTCGACCTCATTTCATGGATCAGTGAACATGGTTAAGTTTTCATGGTCAGGTCTACTATATTTGGTGTATGTAATGATTGTAAGGTGTACATGTCCAACTGGTAGGTGTCATCTGACCTTGACCTCATTTTCGTGGTTCAGTGGTTATAGTTTAGTTTTTGTGTTTTGGTCTGTTTTTCTATTACTGTATGCAATAGGTTAACTATATTTGGTGTATGGAAATATTTTACAATGTACATGTCAGTCTGGCAGGTTTTATTTGACCTTGACCTTTTTCACAGTTCATTGCTCAATGTTAAGGTTTTGTGATTTGGTCTGTTTTTCTAATACTGTATGCAACAGATCAACTATATTTGGTATATGGAAATATTTTACGATGTACATGTCAGTCTGGCAGGTTTTATGAGACCTTGACCTCATTTTTAGCTCACCGGGGCCCTGGCCCCATGTGAGCTTATGCCATCACTTGGCGTCCGTCGTCGTCGTCTGTTGTGGTAAACTATTTCAAAAATCTTCTCCTCTGAAACTACTGGGCCAAATACCTTCAAACTTTAACTAAATGCTCCTTAGGGTATCTAGTTTATAAATTGTATCCAAAGTTTTGATCCATCGACAAACATGGCCGCCATGGCTAAAAATAGAACATAGGGGTCAAATGCAGTTTTTGGCTTATATCTCAAAAAACTAAAGCTTTTAGAGCAAATCTGACATGGGATAAAATTGTTCAATTGGTCAAGATCTATCAGCTATGAAATTTTCAGACGAATCGAACAACCCATTGTTGGGTTGCTGCCACCGAATTGGTAGTTTTAACAAAATTTTGCAGTTTTTTGTTATTATTTTGAATATTATTATAGATATATATAAACTGTAAGCAGCAATACTGTTCAGCAAAGTAAGATCTACAAAAAAGTTAATATGACCATAATTGTTAATTGACCCCTTAAGGAGTTATTGCCCTTTAAAGACAATTTTACACAATTTGTTCATCAAGTTTGCTAACATTTAAAAATCTTCTCCTCTGAAACTACTGGGCCAATTACCTTCAAACTTTAACTAAATGTTCCTTAGGGTATCTTGTTTATAAATGTATCCAAAGTTTGTATCCATCGACAAACATGGCCGCCATGGCTACAAATAGAACATAAGGGTCAAATGCAGTTTTTGGCTTATATCTCAAAAACTTAATCTTTTAGAGCAAATCTGACATGGGGTAAAATTGTTCAATTGGTCAAGATCTATCAGCTATGAAATTTTCAGACGAATCGAACAACCCATTGTTGGGTTGCTGCCACCGAATTGGTAGTTTTAACAAAATTTTGCAGTTTTTATACGACCGCAAAAATTAAAAATTTTTTGGTCGTATATTGGTATGACGTTGGCGTCGTCGTCGTCGTCGTCGTCGTTGTCGTCGTCCGGCGTCGTCCGAAGACACATTGGTTTTCGCACTCTAACTTTAGTTTAAGTGAATGGATCTCCATGAAATTTCACCATAAGGTTCAATACCACAAAAGGAAGGTTGGGATTGATTTTGGGGGTTATGGTACCAAAGGTTAAGGAATTAGGGGCCAAAAAGGGGCCAAAAATAAGCATTTTTGTAACTTTCAGACAATAACTTGTGTGTAAGTGTATGGATCTCTCTGACATTGTACCACAAGGTTCCATATCACAAAGAGAAGGCTGTAATTGATTTTGGGGGTAATTGCCTCAAAATTTTAGGAATTAGGGGCCAAAAAAGGGGCAAAAAACAAGCATTTTTCTAGTTTCATGACAATAACTTGTGTGTAAGTGTTTGGATATTTCTGAAATTGTACTACAAGGTTCCATATCACAAAGGGAAAGCTGGAATTGAGTTTGGGGGTAATTGCCCGAAACGTTTAGGAATTGGGGGCCAAAAAGGGGCCAAAAATAAGCATTTTTCTAGTTTACAGACAATAACTTGTGTTCAAGTGTATGGATCTCTCTGAAATTGTACTGCAAGGTACCATACCACAAAGGGAAGGCTGGGATTGAGTTTGGGGGTGATGAATCATAAGGGGGTTCAAAAAATTTGGGGGGGGGGATTTTTTTTTTTTTTTTTTTCTTTTTTTCCTTTTTTTTTTTCTTTTAAAATTTTCCATTTTAAGTTGGTTATTTCTGATTTATATTTAAAAGCAAATAATAATGATATGGTAGGAGATACACACCAAACAGGATGTGTAAATTATTATATAATAAGTATTGTGAAATAGCAAGAAATTTTCAATTGCACAGTATTGCACAATAGCAAGAAATCTTCAATTGCACAGTATTGCGCAATAGCAAGAAATCTTCAATTTAACAGTATTGCGCAATAGCAAGAAATATCCAATAGCACAATATTGCGCAATAGCAAGAAATTGTCAATTGTACAGTATTGCGCAATAGCAAGAAATATTCAATTGCACAGTATTGTGCAAAAGAAGATACTTCGTATAAATTGCTTATTTCTTGATCAATTTCAATGGGGTTTTATTCTTGAATTCTTGGGGTTCTTTAATATGCTGAATCTAACCGTGTATTAAGTTTTTGGATTTTGGGCCCCGTTTTTAAATTGGTCCACATTGAGGTCCAAAGGGTCCAAAATTAAACTTTGTTTGATTTCATCAAAAATTGAATTATTGGGGTTCTTTGATATGCCGAATCTAACCGTGTATTTAGATTTTTAATTTTGGGTCCCGTTTTTTAAATTTGTCTACATTAAGGTCTAAAGGGTCCAAAATTAAACTTAGTTTGATTTTAACAAAAATTGAATTCTTAGGGTTCTTTGATATGCTGAATCTAAACATGTGTTTAGATTTTTGATTATGGGCCCAGTTTTCAAGTTGGTCCAAGTTGGGGTCCAAAATTAAACTTTGTTTGATTTCAACAAAAATTGAATATATGGGGTTCTTTGATATGCTGAATCTAAACATGTATTTAGATTTTAGATTTTTGGCCCAGTTTTCAAGTTGGTCCAAATTGGGGTCCAAAATTAAACTTTGTTTGATTTCAACAAAAATTGAATATATGGGGTTCTTTGATATGCTGAATCTTACCATGTATTTAGATTTTTTATTTGTGGGCCCGCTATCAAATTGGTTCATATTGAGGTCAAAAGGGTCCAAAATTAAACTTTGTTTGATTTCATCAAAAATTGAATTATTGGGGTTCTTTGATATGCCAAATCTAACCGTGTATTTAGATTTTTAATTTTGGGTCCTGTTTTTTAAATTGCTCTACATTAAGGTCCAAAGGGTCCAAAATTAAACTTAGTTTGATTTTAACAAAAATTGAATTTTTGGGGTTCTTTGATATGCTGAATCTAAACATGTGTTTAGATTTTTGATTATGGGACCAGTTTTCAAGTTGGTCCAAGTTGGGGTCCAAAATTAAACTTTGTTTGATTTCAACAAAAATTGAATATATGGGGTTCTTTGATATGCTGAATCTAAACATGTATTTAGATTTTAGATTTTTGGCCCAGTTTTCAAGTTGGTCCAAATTGGGGTCCAAAATTAAACTTTGTTTGATTTCAACAAAAATTGAATATATGGGGTTCTTTGATATGCTGAATCTTACCATGTATTTAGATTTTTTATTTGTGGGCCCGCTATCAAATTGGTTCATATTGAGGTCAAAAGGGTCCAAAATTAAACTTTGTTTGATTTCATCAAAAATTGAATTATTGGGTTCTTTGATATGCCAAATCTAACCGTGTATTTAGATTTTTAATTTTGGGTCCTGTTTTTTAAATTGCTCTACATTAAGGTCCAAAGGGTCCAAAATTAAACTTAGTTTGATTTTAACAAAAATTGAATTTTTGGGGTTCTTTGATATGCTGAATCTA